ACTTAAGTTATTCGGTTTATAAACGTGCCTGACACTCCCTCTGACGCGAAATAAACCAATATCCCGAGTTATTCAGTTACTCCTAACAGTACATTGACTGAACTGCTAAAAGAGAACCGATGATGGGATGTGCATGAGCAGAGCAGCTGGACTGAGTCTCGTCCTGCTGGGAGACGGCATCACAGTATGGTAAGGGGCGTAACATTTCCGTCACACGCTTGAGGTATTCGGCCAATCACAACGCACTGGATAGCTGGCCAATCAGAGCTTTTCAGACCGATGAGCTTTGTAAAAATCAACGCGTTTCAGAAAGGCTGGGCATTGAGGAGAAACAATAATGTACATTATATGGAAAATAATGTGTTTTTTTTACCTTAAACTCCATAAACACATTGCATTACACCAAATACACAACATAATGTTCTTTTTAGCAACGTCATATGACCCCTTTAATTTTATGTCCACATTTGTTGAATATTGAATGCTTTGTACTGGTTCATGTCTAGCAATAAATGGAAGTTTATAGCAATCGCAATAATAATAATAATAACTGTGCAGAGTATTCTCATGGGACAGAATCAGAGAAGCCACAAAACAAAAAAAGAGATTAGACATTTTTCTTCTCAATTGCTTTATTAGCTGATTATACTTTTCAGGGCAGGATCACTGGTATATGGTGAAATAAAATCAAATAAATAATATCAATGAAGCACCGTATGGACAAAAGGGCATGAATCTAAGTGGCCTACATTCAGTAAAAACTTTTTTCTTACTATAAAAAAAATAAAATAAAAATTATTTGCAATTTCAAGCAGGGAAACCTACTTTGGACCTAGTTTGTGCCAATCATTAAAAAATTAAACGTTCACAGTTCAGAAAAAAAGAAAACCAGAATGAAAATTGCCACAGCAATGACTTTCCCTTTTAAGACATATTCAGGGGCTTCGATCGACTACTCAGTGAAATCCCAGAATGCAACACTGTCAATAAACTCTCTGTGAAGCAACATTAAATCAAATCACACTCAAGCCACAGTTACAAAAGGATGCAAAAAATTCAAGCACAAAGGCCAATGAAAACAAAAACTGTGGAGCTACAGTAAAACACAAAGAACTTTGTAAAATCTGTATCAAAAGAGCAAATCCGAAAAAGTAGGAGTCAGAAATGTGTCTGGATGCTTCGCCGCCCTCCAGCCTTCAGTATCATCAGCAGTGTCTCACACACAGCGCTCCCTGGAGGACTCCACACAAACATCAAACCAATACTGGCAAACAAACAAAACAACGATCTCTATGAAATTTCAAACACAAATTCTAATAGCCATGTTAAAAATGGGAAGGCTGTTCATTTTTGGACGTGAAGGAACAGTAGAAACGGAAACAGTGCTTGAAGAGATATGTGCACATCTCCCCGAGGGAGAAATCTTCACATTCCTGCAGGACTTGGAGGAGAGAGAGTGGAGGAGGAAGAGACATTACTTCTTCCAGATGGTGTAAAACACCCATCTGAGTCGACATGTTAAGGAACAGACAATTGACAACAAGAAGAAAAAAAATTTAATTAAAGCTAAAAACAGATTACATAGCAAAATGTGACCAAAAAGTTAGTGTGTGTATGTATATATATATATATATATATATATAAAAAAATTTCGTTTATAAAAAGGTACATGTATTTAATGTTTATTTTTACTTCTAAATGTTTTAAATGTTTTTATATATATATATATTTAGATTTAAAAAAATTATTGACTGACAGCCCTTATATATATATATATATATATATATTAGGGCTGTCAGTCAATAATTTTTTTAAATCTAATTAATTACAGGGTGCTGTGATTAATTAATCTAATTAATTGCAAACTAAATTTGGCTGTGAAAATACCCCCAAAAGATCATTTAAATCTATGATTGTGTTAAATGTTTAGGCTACAATGGCCTAACATAAAGTATGGAACATAAAAGAAGATCATTTGAGAAACATCTCAGTATTTTTTGTTCATGAAATAAAAGTCACTAGTGACCAAAAAAGCTTAGTTATTAACAGTAATCAAAATACCTTCTTTTATATTGTGCAAAAGAAAGTAAGTCATTCAGGTTTGAAACAACACGAGGGTGAGTAGCTAAATGATGATAGAATTTATTTATTTGTTTATTTATTTTTGTTGAACTATCCCTTTAATCACTTTAATTATACCTTTTTTTAATAAATAAATGATACTCTAAAGAAGAAACTAAAACTACCAGCAGGTGGCGGGTAAATGTCTTTTTGAGTTGATTCGTTCAAACGACTGATTCACTCAGGAATTCAGTTAAACGGCTCTCTCTATGGACTACTGAATCATTGGTTCACACGATTCGTTCAAAACGCAGATTCATTCAGAAACTAAACACCGCTGTGTTGCTGAGAGACGCACAACAATTCTGCTGTGGCTTTTAGGTAATATTTTCGTTGGCAAAATTGAACAAAAACTCACAAAATTGTGTTTAAAATATAGCACAATATTAACTTATTTACTGAACTGTTGTATAAAATCACATTTGCACTTGTTCTTGAGCACTTGTGTGATATTGCTCTCGCTGTTCGTGTGATAGTCGCTTATCATATGAAATAAATATGAGACAGAAACTCATACAGGGGCATTTTTGCACAAATATCTTGAATTTTAGGGCATAACTGCATTTATGGAGTTGTTGCCCTGCATCATATTTGTCAACAGTCCACTGTATGAAATGTAAGATGACGTACAGGTCTGGGGGCGGGGCCAGTGCGTT